ACTACTACTAGCTAAGGTCGATATGGATATACCGACACTTACGAAAAGAGAGAGCTTATTAAGGTTCGATAGATTGCTAAAGAGCATAACACCGCCGATGCAATAATAAAGAGAACACTTAATAAAGCGCTAAAAACCTTTTTAAATACGAATAAGCTGAAAGTTAAATTAAAAGGTTAAGTTGAAAAAGAAAGCTGAAAAAGATTGTTTTCGGTGCTTCTTATTAAAAGAGCTACTTTAGCGTACGGAGTTTTTGAGTTTTCTCTTTCACCTTTATTTTACTTACCTTGCTATTAGCAAGAAAGAAAGACTGCGAGTGTTAGAACTAGCATTCAGCTTGGTTGATTACATTCAACTGAGTCAACTCAGTCGAACCGGTCAAACAGGTCAAGTCACGTGGATACCCGTTTATACCTTCCGTTTGCATCGGTAGCTATAAGAAGCTACCACCTTACGTACTTAAAGATGATATGCAATATACTAACTGAATCCACTCGAACAACTCGAATACGTATTCGGACCTTGCATCACCCTGTGATACCAACAAAAGGATTAAAAGACCACGAGCTTTAGTCTTTATTCCGATACGCGTTTGCTAGATAAAGCGCGGACGAGTTCTCGTTGGCCGCTAAACAAGCTCACGGCTATCGAGGAAGCAAGTTTACGGTGCTTATTAGACTAAAGGATCACTTAATGTTTAAAGGAGTTTGGTGCCTCTTAAGGCAAAGAGGCTACGCTAATGGACTAGCTTTAATCGTTTAAATGGAGAAGGAGCACTAATGGACTTGGGAAGAATAGCGAAAGCAATCAATCGAAGGGTTTGATTCTAGGTGGATCGAGGTTACTATTGCACGGCGCACGCTTTAATCGACAAACTAAGGAAGTCGCTAAAATTCAAGGTAAACAAATCGAAAGGTTCCCTTAATTAGGCTTTATTCGTCTCACTAAAATCATCGACGAACCTTCGAATCAGCCTTAAAGCATACTCGAGAAGGAAAACGAGGAGCTCCGACGCTAAAAAGAGGCAATTGCGCGAGACCTCGACGACTTCCGAAACTTGACAATTACGAGGGACGCGCAATAGCGTAAAGAGAGAATCGAGAAGGCTATAAAGCATAAAGAGGAGCTCAAGGCAGTAAGGCAATCGTCATCAAAGCGCAGTCCTCGCGATTCGCTCCTCTCTCTTGTTCCTTCGCTACTTCAAAAGCGCAATTCCCGCGATTCTCTTCCCTCTCCTGTTCCTTCGCTACTTTAACGGCGCAGTTCCCGCGATTCCTTTCCTGTGACGACACGCCAGGTCTCCTGGACGCACCTCACATGCGCCAAGCTACTTCCCTCCTTTTTCCCTTCGTATTCTTCGTATTCTCTCATTCCCCGCTTTTGACCCATGAACCATGGTTCACGAGTCCTTGGCGCTTCTACCTTCGTGTATATAGACCTCAGCTACCTTCGACCTCTACACTCGGTAGTTGTTGATTCTAAGTCATTACTTTGAGATTCTCCTGAGCTCCCATGTGAACCCCGCGCTCCCGTGAGTTCCTTCAGGTAATCGCTTAAGGTCGTCACATTTCCCTTTCCTATTCTTTCGCTACTTTAGCCAGCGATTCTATCACTTAAAGAGCGCGCTAAGAGGCTGCAATACGATTCGCAGCAATCCAAGTGGCAAGAGGACCGAGGGTTCAAGGACGTTAAACCTGCCGGCGACATCGAGGCTTACGACGACCCTTAGATTTAAAGCAAATTTGATTCTCACTAAGGACAACGTAAGGATCTTCGATCTAGTGTAAACACCCTGCCTGATGGGGCACCTGCCATGGCCACTAGGGCCACACTAGACGGACCCATCTTCTATAAGAGGGCACACATCTCCTAGCTAGAACAATCAACGAGCTTTCCACTTATCTTTTTTGCACTTCCTTGTGAGGGCCATGAGGCCTAGCCTTAGTATCAGGCTTCTGTGTGGTACATCTTTTTGGGTGCTTCTACACTAGTTTGCAGCAAGACCGGGGCAACGGATACCGCTAAGGCCGAGCCCAAGGATACGAGCAGCAAGGGAAGCAAGCTCCTGCTAGCAACCCCAACGATCCCGATAGCTTGGACGGTGATCCAGAAGGAGAAAATAAAGGGGGAAGCGAGTGTAATGGGCACAAAGGAAGAGGAGGAGGACACGGTGGCCCGACGAAAGGACAAGGAAATAAGCCGCCAAGGGACCCTGGACGAGACCCTGGACGAGGATACGAACCCCCGGCGAACCTGGGCCAAACCGACCCCTTACTAGCACCCCTTTTTCGACCCGAGTGCTGGCCAAGCACTCCTTTCAGCACTCCTCTCAGCACTTCTCTTAACACTCCTCTCAAACCTCCCTTCAGCGCACCTCAAGCAAAGCTGATTCCGACGACCTTGAGAACGAGTACGAGTGCTTTATTCAAGGCTGCCAATACGGGGGAGAGCATTGCGAGCACTTCGCAAATTGACGGTAATGTTGCGGTGCAAAAGAAAGGAAGATTTTTAGAAAGGGGAGCCCTTTTTAAAAAAGAATTTTCTTTATTCCTTGCGTTTGAATTTTTTTTGCTCTTTACTACTACCTTCCTCCTTTCGGTCGATATAATAGTTGGCAAAGCACTGTTTGCCAAAGAAAGAGTTGCCGGTGTCGGTATATTTATATCGACCTTAGCTAGTAAGTAGTAGTTAGGGGGGGGTTCACTCGT